CAAAAAAAAAAAAAAAAAAAAAAAAATGTAAGCACTCAGCTCTCAACTGCCAAAGCTCCTCTGGGTGACAGTCCTAGCATCCCGGGGACAGCTCTAATGCCAGAAGTCACACCCTCAATGCATTTCTCAGGGCCCCAGCTGCGTGTTCTCACCACATCCAGTAAACCCAGAAAGGCAGAAAGCATCTCTCCTAGATGCGTGCATGAAATCTGCCAAATCCTAAATGCCTCTGACATTCAAAAAAATGACTTTAGGAGTGTGTGCAATGGCCAGGCACAGTGGCTCACACCTGTAATCCCAACCCTTTGGGAGGCCGAGGTGGGAGGACAAATTGACTCCTGGAGTTCAAGACCATCCTGGGCAACAGAGATAGATCCCGCCTCTAATCCCAAACATGGTGGCAGGTGCCTGCAGTTCCAGACACTCAGAAGGCTGAGGAGGGAGGATCGCTTGAGCCCAGGAAATTGAGGCTGCAGTGAGCTGTAAGCATCCCACTGCACTCCAGCCGGAGTGACAGAGACCTTGCCTCACACACACAGACATAAACACACACACAGACACACACACACACAAACACACACAAAGTCAGGGCATGGTGGCTCACACCTGTAATCCCTGCACTTTGGGAAGCCAAGGTGGATGGATGGGCCAGGACTTCAAGACCAGCCTGGGCAACATGGCAATACCCCATGTCTGCAAAAAATACAAAAAATACCCAGGCATGGTGGTGCCCAGCAACTTGGGAGGCTAAGGTGAAAGGATGACTTGAACTCGGAGGCGCAGGTTGCAGCAAGCTGTGATTAAGCCACTGCACTCCAGCCTGGGCGACAGAGGGAGACTCTGTCTCAAAAAAAAAGAGTGCGAGAGGTAAACAGAACACGTCTGCTCTTTAAGTGTGTTTGCAGACCTTTGTGTAAGCCAAACTTTTATTTTACAGACAGGGAAACTGAAGGGTCCAGGGAGGGAAGAGACTGACTTGGTGAATCAATGGGTCTGGGATTTCATGATTCACAATAACCAAGTGGCCAAATTCATCAGCACTCCTGGGACAACCAGCATCGTGTGCCTCTTGATATGATGTACAGAGAAGGACACAGCATCACTTCTGTAACACTCCTGCCACCAGAATCTAATTGCAAGGAAATATCACACAAACCCAAATCAAGGAGACCTTCCCCAAAATAACTGGACTGTAATCTTCACAACTGTCAATTACATGAAAAACAGAGAAAAGCTAAGGAACTGTACCAGACTGAAGGAAACTGAAGAGATGAAAATATTTTGCCATGACAGATAGTTTGGGGACAGCTGGCAATTTGAATACAGGCTGTACTGCACTATTGATACTAGTATCACTGCGAAATGTACACAGCTCTGCTGTGCTTGGAAATCCAACTGAAGCATTTAGAGGCAAAGGGAGGTAATGTCTGAAACTAGTCTTGCAACTTCTCTGTAAGTTTAAAATGATTTCAAAAGAAAAAAAATGATTTCAAAGTAAAAGTCATGATTTAAAAGTCTATGGCTTTGGCCAGGCACGGTGGCTCTCGCGTGTAATCCCAGCACTTTGCAAGGCCAAGGTGGGCAGATCACTTGAGGTTAGGAGTTCAAGACCAGCCTGGCCAAAATGGTAAACTCCCTCTCTACTAACAATACAAAAAGTTACCCAGGTGTGGCAAGATGCACCTATAGTCCCAGCTACTCAGGAGACTGAGGCATGAGAATTGCTTGAACCAGGGAGACAGAGGTTGCAGTGAGCCGAGATTATGCTGCTGCACTTCAGCCTGGGCAACAGAGAGAAACTCTGCCTCAAAAAACAAAAAAAAAAAAAAAAGAAAAGAAAGAAAGAAAGAAAGAAAGAAAAGTCTATGGTTGGCCAGGTGCGATGGCTCACGCCTGCAATCCCAGCATTTTGGGAGGCCGAGGCGGGCGGTGGATCACGAGGTCAGGAGATCGAGACCAGCCTGATCAACATGGTGAAACCCCGTCTCTACTAAAAATACAAAAATTAGCTGGGCGTGGTGGCACGTGCTTGTAATGTCTCTGGAGGCTGAGGCAGGAGAATCTCTTGAATCCAGGAATCAGAGGTTGCAGTGAGCTGAGATGGCGCCACTGCATTCCAGCCTGGGCAACAGAGCCAGACTCCATCTCAAAAAAAAAAAAGGAAAGAAAAGTCCATGGTTTTAAGGTTCTGTGTTTCCAAGGATCTCTAAGTCTGTGCATGCATTTGTGGTCAGAGTCTGGGGAGTTGGCAACGTGAATGAGCTGCTTCAGACACTGCTTTGAGGGTTCGACCAGGACCTTAGCCTGTGGTTAAGGTCTAGGTGCAGTGCCAGAGCCTTGGGGGTGTGGCCAGAGTCCTGGAGGCGTGGCCAGGGCCTCGAAGGTGTGGCCAAGAAACTCAGTTCCCAAGGGAGGAGGTAAGCCTGTGCTCAGTGCGCCCTCTTGTGGCTATCCCCAGGTCTCCACTTTTTATTTAATAGCTTTATTTCGTTTTATTTTTTTCGACTTTCATTTTAGATTTAGGGGGTACATGTACAGGTTTGTTACCTGGGTATATTGCATGATGCTGAGGTTTGTGTTACGACTTATCCTGTCACCAGGTACTGAGCATAGTACCCAACAGTTTTTCAACCCTTGTCCCCTCTTTCCTTCCCTCCCCCCTTCAGAAATACCTAGTTTCTGTTGTCTCCATCTTTCCCTCCCTAAATACTCAACGTTTAGCTCCCACTTACAAGTGAGAATGCGCGGTATTTAGCTTTCTGATCCGGCCTAACCGTTCTACTAAGATATAATGTGTATATCGTAACATTTTTGTTTTTCAGAGTTAATTCAATTTATTATTCTTGTATAAAAACTCTATGTTGTAGCCACAGCTGGAGCCTGGGTCCTCTGCACAGCGACTCTGGCACGGGCCTTGACAAGGTGGTCAGTGAATTCCTGATAGGGAGACTCGGTGAATACCATCTCCTTCCAAAGGCTGGGAGTCAGGCGGCTGTAGGCCTTAGAGATGGCATCAAAGGTGGCCTTGGCGAAGTTGCCCCGGGTGGCAGTGCAGCCCCTGGCTGAGCCGTAGCAGTCATCGACACCAGCCATCATGAGCAGCATCTGGGGCACAGGTGCCAAGACAATGCCAGTGCCCCTGGGCGCGGGGATGAAGCGAACCAGCACAGAGCCGCAGTGGCCTGTCACCTTGCAAGGGACCATGTGGGGCGTGCCAATCTTGTTCCCCCAGCAGCCTCTGCGGACTGGGACAATGGAGAGCTTAGCCAGGATGATGGCCCCGCGGATGGCAATGGCCACCTCCTTAGAGCACTTAACACCCAGACCGACGTGGCCATTGTAGTCCCCAATGGCAACAAACACCTTGAACCTGGTGCGCTGGCCAGCTCGGGTCTGCTTCTGCACCGGCATAATCTTCAAAACCTCATCCTTGTAAGAGACTCCCAGGAAAAAGTCAGTGATCTCAGATTCCTTGATGGACAGGGAGAAGAGACAGATCTCCTCCAAGGACTTGATCTTCATGACCTTGACCAGGAGGCCCAGCTTGGCGACCAGCATCCACTCCTTATCCCTTGCCCCAGATGCCACTGTGGAAGCCTCGGCGGAAGCCACTGCAGTTCCCCATCCCGGGGCACCTGGGGCCTCCGGGATCCCCGCTGCACCAGTGTCATCTGCCATTTGGTGTTTTCTCGGAGAAGTGTATCATACAACTTACCTTTTTTTTCTCTTTTTTTTTTGAGATGGAGTCTTGCTCTGTCCCCGATGCTGGAGTGCAATGGCCCAATCTCGGCTCGGCTCACTGCAACCTCTCCCTCCTGGGTTCAAGCGACTCTCCTGCCACAGCCTCCTGAGTACCTGGGATTACAGGTGCACGCCACCACACCGGGCTTTTTGTACTTTAGTAGAGATGGGGTTTCACAGTGTTGCTCAGGCTAATCTCAAGCTCCTGAGCTCAGGCAATCCACTCACCTCAGCCTCCCAAAATGCTGGGATTACAGATGTGAGCCACCATGTCCCACCCACCAGACTCTATTTCAAAACATTTGTTGGCCGGGCGTGGTGGCTCAAGCCTGTAATCCCAGCACTTTGGGAGGCCGAGGTGGGTGGATCACGAGGTCAAGAGATCGAGACCATCCTGGTCAACATAGTGAAACCCCGTCTCTACTAAAAATACAAAAAATTAGCTGGGCATGGTGGTGCATGCCTGTAATCCCAGCTACTCAGGAGGCTGAGGCAGGAGAATTGCCTGAACCCAGGAGGCGGAGGTTGCGGTGAGCCGAGATCGCGCCATTGCACTCCAGCCTGGGTAACACAAGTAAAACCCCGTCCCAAAAAAAAAAAAAAAAAAAAAAAACATTTGTTCACCCCCCCAAAAAAGCCCCATACCCGTTAGTAGCCACTGTCTATTTCCTCGCAACACCCTTCCAGCTCCAGACAACCCTAACATACTTTCTCTTTTTTGTATTTTTTTGACATAACATAGTTGTACATATTGTGGGGGTACATGTGATGTTTTGATGCATGGACACAATGTGCAATGATGAAATCAGTGTAACTGGGATATCTGTCACCTCATTTACCTTTTCTTTGTGTTTAGAACATCACAATTATTCTCTTCTAGCTTTTTTTTTTTTTTTTTTTTTTTTTGAGATGGAGTCTTGCTCTGTCGCCCAAGGTGGAGTGCAATGGCACTAACTCAGCTCACTGCAACCTCCACCTCCTGGGTTCCAGGGATTCTCCTGCCTCAGCCTCCCAAGTAGCTGGAAGTATAGGTGCCCACCACATACCCGGCTAATTTTTGCATTTTAGTAGAGACGGGGTTTCATCATGTTGTCCAGGCTGGTCTCCAACCCCTGACCTCAGGTGACCTGCCTGCCTTGGCCTCCCAAAGTGCTGGGATTACAGGCATGCGCCACCATGCCCAACTAATTTTGTATTTTAGTAGAGACAGGTTTCTCTCTGTTGGTCAGGCTGGTCTGGAACTCCTGACCTCAGGTGACCTGCCAGCCTCGGCCTTCCAACGTGCTGGGATTACAGGCATGAGCCACCACACCTGGCCACTTTCATTCCTATTAACGGCCGAACAATTTTCTGTTGTATGAATAGACCACATTTTGTTCATCCATTCTTCAGTTGATGGACGTTTAGGTTGTTTCCGCAAGTCTTTGGGTAGATATGTGCTTTCAACTCTCCGGAATATATATATACACGTAGGAATGCTCTAGCCCTATGTTTAACATTTCGGGAGCTGCCAAACTATTTTCCAAAGCAGCTGCACCATTTTACATTCCTGCCAGCAGTGTAGAGGGTTCCAATTTCTCCACATCCTTGCCAACACTTGTGATTGTCTCGTTTATGACAGTCGTCCTAGTGGGTGTGAAGCGGCATTCACTGTGGTTTTCATGTTCATTTCCTTAACAGATCATATTGTGGAGCATCTTTTCATGTCATTCACTTCGTTTGTATCCACTTTGGGTCTGGAAATAGAGTTCATATAGTTGCAAAACGGATACAAAAAACCTGGATCGGCTAGGCGCAGTGGCTCACGCCTGTAATCCCAACATTTTGGGAGGCCGAGGCAGGCAGATCACGAGGTCAAGAGATCGAGACCATCCTGACCAACGTGGTGAAACCCTGTTTCTATTTAAAAAGAAAAAAAAATTTTTTAATTAAAAAAACATTAAAAAAAAAAAACCTGGATCAAATCCCGGAAAAGAGTCCATATAGTTGCAGATTTTTTTTTTCTTTTTTTCTTTGTTTCTTTTTTTTTTTTTTTGAGACAAAGTTTTCTCTCTTTTGTTGCCCAGGAGTGGGGTGCAATGGCGTGATCTTGGCTCACTGCAACCTCTGCTTCCCGGGTTCAAGCAATCCTCCCACCTCAGCCTCCCAAGTAGCTGGGACCACAGGCAGCATGCCACTACGCCCAGCCTTTTGTTTTTATTTTTCTTTTTTTGCAGAGATAGGGCCTTGCTATGTTGCCAAGTTGATCGCAAACTCCTGGCTTCAACCAATCCTCCCACATCGGCGTCCCAAAGTGCTAGGATTCCAGGAGTGAGCACCACCCTCTTCCAGCTTCTGGTGTTCACTGATCGTCTTTGGTATTCGTTGGCTTATAGATGCTTCACTCCAATGTCTCTGCTGCCATCATCATGTTGTGTGTGTGTGTGTGTGCGTGCGCGCGCACGCACACACACAGCTGTAACTGTATCCAAATTTCCTTTTCATAAGGACATCAGTCAGATTTAGGACCCACCCCAATCCAATACGACCTCATCCTAACCTGATTACATAACCAAAGACCCTATTTCCAAATATGGCCACATTCATAAGTTCCAGCGGACATGAATTTGGCAGGGAGGGGAATGATTCAATCCAGGCCACTCATCATTATGTGTTCATGACACACACGGTTGGTATTTGTGTCCAGTTCACTCACCTTAATGGCTGCACAAGAGTTTTATTGTGAGAGCACGCCACAGTTTATGTCAGGCTGATGGTGGTGAACGTCCATCCACCTTGTTTCCACTCTCCTCCACTTCCGACAAGGATGCAATTAACATCCCTGAACATGTCTCTTGGAGTTTCTTAGGGCAGTATTTTTCAAATAGCCGAAGAAGATCCATTAGTGGGTTGCAAAATCAATTTAGTGGGTTATAAACCATGTTTCCCTTAATAAAATGGAATTAAATAGAAGACATTAGAGTCCAGGCTCATAGTTGGAGTGAGAGCTCTCCTGTGAAACTCTCACTTCAGGTGTATTGCTGTCCTAATGTCCAGATATCAGCAAAAGTGTTTACAAGCCACAGCTCTGAAAGAGGCAGCCAGACATGGACCCGCCCTGTCCATTTGTCCAAAGGTCTTGTGGATGCTGCTAAATTGCTCTCCAATGTAGTTTTCCATTTGCACTCACACCAGCTCCTTGCCAACACTTGCATAGTCAACACTTTGAACTTTTGTCAGGCTAACAGGTTTTCATCCCGGTTTTTGGTTTTTTTGTTTTTTGTTGTTGCTGGTTTTGAGAGAGAGTCTCACTCTGTCACCCAGGCTGGAGTACGGTAATGTGATCTTGGCTCACTGCAACCTCCACCTCCTGGGTTCAAGCAATTCTTCTGCCTCAACCTCCGAGTAACTGGGATTAGAGGCACACCACCATGCCCAGCTAATTTTTGTATTTATTTATTTATTGAGATGGAGTCTTGCTCTGTCACCCAGCCTAGAGTGTAGTGGTACAATCCTGGCTTACTGCAACCTCCACCTCGAAGGTTCAAGCGATTCTCCTGACTCAGCCTCCCAAGTAGCTGGGATTACAGGCACCTGCCAGCACACCCAGGTAATTTTTGTATTTTAATAGAGCTGGGGTTTCGCCATGTTGGCCAGGCTGATCTCAAACACCTGACCTCAAGTGATCCACCCACCTCGGCCTCCCAAAGTGCTGGGATTACAGGCGTGAGCAACTGCACCTGGCCTAATTTTTGTATTTTTAGTAGAGATGAGATTTCACCATGTTGGCCAGGCTGGTCTCAAACTCCTGAGCTCAAGTGATCTGCCCACCTTGGCCTCCTAAAGTGCTGGGATTACAGGCATGAACCACTGCACCCAGCCCGATCTTTTTTGGTCGTTTTTTTAATTTAAAGAAAAATTTTAAGATTTTCAGTTCCTACAAGATGGGGGTGGGGCTGAGGTTGGGCTCCCAACCTAAGCCCCCTACACTACAAGGCCAAAGGGCTTTTGAGAATTCAGTGTGTAAATGTTTGCAAAGCATCACACACAGGGCCTGGTAGACAGTCAACATTCAATAAATGCTAGCTATGGCCAGGTATAGTGGCTCACATCACTGCAATCCCAGCATTGTGGGAGGCCCAGGCTGGAGGATTGCCTAAGCTCAGGAGTTCAAGACCAGCCTGTGCAACATAGTGAGACATCATCTATACTAAAAATAAAAAAATAAAAAAACAGCTGATGTGGTGGTGCACACCTGTAGTCCTAGTTACTAGGGAGGCTGAGACAGGAGGATCACTTGAGCCCCGGAGGTCAAGGCTGCAATGAGTAGTGATCACATCACTGCACTCCAGCCTAGGAGACAGAGCAAGACCCTGTCTCAAAAATAAAATAAAATAAAATAAAATAAAATAAAATAAAAAAATAAAAGTGGGTTATTACTAGCTACTGATTCAAAGCTCTCTAGGTAGGTGCACATTTGAAATCAGAACTCGGCCTGGTCTGACCAGGCATGGTGGCTCACGCCTGTAATCCCAGCCCTTTGGGAGGCCGAGCATGGGGGATAGATTGAGCCCAGGAGATCCAGGCTGCAGTGAGCTATGATCGGGCCACTGCACTCCAGCCTGAGCAGCAGAGCAAGACCGAGCAAGACCGTGTATCACAGAAAAAGAAAAAAAACGGCTGGGCCGGGGGTGGGGCGTGGCTGGAATGCATTAGGGGCGGAGGGAAGGCGCGGCCGACAGCGCCCCGTGTGGCTGCCCAGCGCGCAACCAGGCTGATGTTACAGGTTCCACAGGTTGGGTGAAAGCCGCGCCCCGCCGCCCCTGCGCAAACGAGTCGCTCTCCGCCACCGCAGGCTTGAACCCCATCTTCCCGCCTGGCTTCTTCGGGACTCAGGGGTATCTTACTTAACCCAGGCCTGATTTCTCGCAGGCCACACCGTCGTGGGGACCCAGGAATCTTGTTGCCAAATTCCTGCCCCCTCTGACACCTAGTTTCCAACCCTCCTGAAAGGGGACCCGGAGGCCTGCTGGCTCTGTGCCTCCTTCCTCTAGGACAGAGAGATAGCAATGCCTCCCTGACCCGTTCCTCCTTGAAATCTCAGCTCTCTGACCTTTAACCCCGTGCCACGACCAAAGACCCAGACCTCCACCACGACTCAGGAGGGCTGTGTCCTAAGTCCCACCTCCCTGGTAGCTCCCAGACCTCTCCCTCCCCTCTCCAACAAGGGTTCCCCGGCAGGGCGCGCTGGCTCACACCTGTAAGCCCAGTACTTTTAGGAGGCTGAGGCGGGCGGATCGCTTGAGCTCAGAAGTTCAAGACCAGCCTGGACAACATGGTGAGACCCCCGTCTGTGTTAAAAATACAAAAATAAAATAAAATAGCCGGTACTGGTGATGCGTGCCTGAATTCCCAGCTACTCGGGAGGCGGAAGTGGGAGGATCACTTGAGCCTGAGAGACAGAGGTTGCAGTGAGCTAACATCTCACCACTGCGCTCCAGCCTGGGAGACAGAGCAAGACCCTGCCTCAAAAAAAAAAAAAAAAAAAAAAAAAAAAGCCGGGCGCGGTGGCTCAAGCCTGTAATCCCAGCACTTTGGGAGGCCGAGGCGGGTGGATCACGAGGTCAAGAGATCGAGACCATCCTGGTCAACATGGTGAAACCCCGTCTCTACTAAAAATACAAAAAATTAGCTGGGCATGGTGGCGCGTGCCTGTAATCCCAGCTACTCAGGAGGCTGAGGCAGGAGAATTGCCTGAACCCAGGAGGCGGAGGTTGCGGTGAGCCGAGATCGTGCCATTGCACTCCAGCCTGGGTAACAAGGGCGAAACTCCGTCTCAAAAAAAGTATTTTTAGAAAAAAAAAGGCGGACACGGTGGCTCACGCCTGTAATCCCAGCACTTTGAGAGGCTGAGGTGTGCGGATCACGAAGTCAGGAGTTTGAGACCAGCCTGGCCAATATGGTGAAAAACTCCATCTCTACTAAAAATAACAAATATTAGCTGGGCATGATGGCAAGTGCCTGTAATCCCAGCTACTCGGGAGGCTGAGGCAGGAGAATCACTTGAATCCAGGAGGCAGAGGTTGCAATGAGCCGAGACTATGCCATTGCACTCCAGCCTCGGTAACAGAGCAAGACTCAGTCCCCCCCAAAAAAAAAAAATTCCCAGGCCTCCTGTGGCCCCTTGCCCTTCTCTGAAGGGACCCAGATATCCTACCTGCACTCCCCACCCACCCACTGAGAAGCCCCCTCCTATCGCTACCCACCTAAGCCACCCCATCCTGCTCCTTTTTGAGAATCACACTCAAACCGCACCAACTACTTTTTTTTTTTTTTTTTTTTTTTGTATTTTTAGTAGAGACAGGGTTTCACCATGTTGGCCAGGCTGCTCTCGAACTCCCGACCTCAGGTGAATCTCCCACCTCGGCCTCCCAAAGAGTTGTGATTACAGGTGTGAGCCACAGCGCCCGGCCAAATTTTATTTTATTTTTAAAAGATATTTTTAGAGATGGGGCCTCACTATGTTGCCCAGGCTGGTCTTGAACTCCTGGTTCACGTGATCCACCTCCGCCACGCAAAGTTCTGGGATTACAAGCATGAGCCTTCGCTTCCGGCCTCCAAATCCCACCTCTTGAAAACCCACGTGCCAGATCCTCCAGCCCGCCCCCTTTGGAGACACTAGTACCTGCAGTCCCCTCCCCGTTCTCTAGGGCCCGCCCTCTCCTTTCACTCTGGGCGAGGCCGCGCCTATCCCGGCCACATCGGTCCCCGCGGCGCACGGGAGTCTCTCATGGCTGTGGCGTTGGCCCCATGGGGGCGACAGTGGGAAGAGGCCCGCGCCTTTGACCGGACGGTGAAGCTGCTGCAGCGCCTGGAAGAGCAATGCAGCGACCCCCGACTGTCCATGAGTCCCCCTTCGCTTCGGGACCTGCTGCCTCGCACAGCGCAGCTGCTTCAGCAGGTGGCTCAAGCTCGTCGGGCTGCCGGCGGAGGCGACCCCGGGGATCCCGGAGGCTCCGGGAACTTTCTAGTCATCTACCTGGCCAATCTGGAGGCCAAGAGCAGGCAGGTGGCCGAGCTGCTGCCGCCCCGGGGCCGAAGGAGCGCCAACGACGAACTCTTCCGGGAGGGATCCAGACTCAGGTGAGCCTTCGCCCCGGAACAGAGTCCGCAGGGGTGAGGCCCAGGTCTCTCGCTCCCAGCCCTCCTCCCTCAGACCCAGGAATCCAGACTCCAGCCCCTCCTCCCTCAGACCCAGGAGTCCAGGTCCCCAGCCCCTCCTCCCTCAGACCCAGGAGTCCAGGCCCCCAGCCCCTCCTCCTTTAGACCCAGGAATCCAGACCCCAGCCCCTCCTCCTTTAGACCCTCCTCCTTCAGACCCAGGCCCCAGCCCCTCCTCCCTCAGACCCAGGAGTCCAGGCCCCCAGCCCCTCCTCCCTCAGACCCAGGAGTCCAGGCCCCCAGCCCCTCCTCCTTCAGACTCAGGCCCCAGCCCCTCCTTCCTGAGGGAACCTGGAAAATGAGCCACCCAGTTTTCTCCTTCCTTGGGCTTATATCCCCGGCCCGCATTTTGCTTTTTCCTTGGTCCCCCAGCAGCCCTATTCTGGTTCCCACTATCCCACTATCTCAGAATTCAGGGCCCTCTTGGGGCTGCCTACTTTGAGGATAAAATAAAAGTTAGCTATTACTATTATTCTCTGATTCAAAGTTCTCCAGATGTGTGCACATTTGTGATCAGAACTTGGCCTGATCTGGCCAAGTACGGTGGCTCAAACCTGTAATCCCAGCTCTTTGGGAGGCCAAGCTGGGAGGATCCAGCCTCAGAATGTGGGGACCCCATGGGCTCCTAGGTTGAGAACAGGTAGATGGACACAGCTGAAGAAACTGATCCTTAGGCCCCCATCGTGGACTCTGCCTGGACCACCAACTTGGTCTTCAGTTCCTGGGGAACAGGTGGCTCCAGACCCAACCTTGCCTGGAGACCACCCCCCTCTGTTCTGCACTGAGGAAGGAACCTCAGGCTGACACTCAGAGTGACAGGGCAGGCAAGGTTTGGGGCCCAGAAAAAGGTCTAGTTCAGTGACCCCATGCCACTTCGTTATGTCAGATATTTTGTAGTGTTTCCTTTTTTTATTTTTATTTTTTGAGACGGAGTTTCGCTCTTGTCGCCCAGGCTGGAGTGCAATGGTGCGATCTTGACTCACTGCAACGTCCACCTCCCCAGTTCAAGCAATTCTCCTGCCTCAGCCTCCCAAGTAACTGGGATTACAGGCATGCACCACCACGCCCAGCTAATTCTGTATTATTAGTAGAGATGGGGTTTCTCCATGTTGGTCAGGCTGGTCTCGAACTCCTGACCTCAGGTGATTCACCCACCTCAGCCTCCCAAAGTGCTGGGATTACAGGCATGAGCCACCTCAATGCTCCCATGGCTGTGGGAGCGTTTTTTTTTTTTTTTTTTTACACAGTGTCTTGCTCTGTCGCCCAGGCTGGAGAGCAGTGGCACAATTATGACTCACTGCAGCCTCAAACTCCTGGGCTCAAGTGATCCTCCCACCTCAGCCTCCCAAGTAGCTGGGACCACAGGTGCACCACATGCCAGGCTAATCTTATTTTTTGATAGAGAGGAGGTCTTGCTCTGTTGGCTAGGCTGGTCTCAAACTCCGGGCCTCAAGCAGTCTCCCCACCTGAGCCTCCCAAAGTGCTGAGATTACAGGCAAGAGCCACCATGCCTGGCCCAGTGTTTCCTTAATTCATCCTGAAATGACACGCAGAGTTTTAACAACCTACCCACCCATAGTTTTTTAATCATTGTAATGCCCAAATTATAAGAGAGTCATAAGATGAATGTTTTTTCCTAACATATTATCTACGTTTTGAATGAAAATGCCAAGGCATAATTATTCTGGAAGGCAGAATTGACTAGTCAGACACTCATACCTATAGGTAGAACCACCATGATACAGAATCAAATAGTCTTCCCTTCATGTATAGTAGATCTGGATTTCTGCAAAATTCAGCATAATTTTTTTTGAGTCGGGGATCTTACTCTGTTACCCAGGCTGCAGTGCAGTGGCACAATTTTGACTCACTGCAGTCTCCACCTTCGGGTTCAAGTGATTCTCCTGCCTCAGCCTCCCAAGTACTGGGATTACAGGCACCTGCCACCACACAGGAATAATATTTGTAGTTTTTTTTTTTTTTTTTTTTTTTTGGAGTAGTTTTTATTAGAGACAGGGTTTCATCATGTTTGCCAGGCTGTTCTCGAACTCCTGACCTCAAGTGATCCACCCGCCTCGGCCTCCCAAAGTGCTGGGATTACAGGCGTGAGCTACTGCGCCCGGCCAAAATCTAATAAAATCCATGTATATAGTTTTTAATTTTCTTTTCTCTTTTTTTTGTTTTTTGTTAGTTTGTTTGTTTGTTGGGTTTTCTTGAGAGGGAGTTTTGCTCTGTCACCCAGACTGAAGTGCAGTGGCCCAATCTGAGCTCACGTCAACCTCCGCCTCCCAGGTTCAAGCGATTCTCCTGCCTCAGCCTCCCAAGTAGCTGGGATTACAGGTGCCTGCCACCACACCAGGCTGATTTTTGTATTTTTAGTAGAGACGGGGTTTCACCATGTTGGCCAGGCTCAGCCTCCCAAAGTGCTGGGATTACAGGCATGAGCCACCGTGCCCTGCAGGAACGGACTCTTACCTCGCACTGATGAGAGAGGGTCCGGAACCTTGTCCCTGAAGGCGTTCCCCTTTCAGGGAGGAAGAGGGTGTCGGTGGGAGCCCCAAGAACAGCTGGAGTCCTTGCCCCTCCCCACAGGCGCCAGCTGGCCAAGCTGGCCGTCATCTTCAGCCACATGCACGCAGAGCTGCGAGCGCTTTTCCCTGGGGGATGTTACTGCGGTCATGTGTACCAGCTCACCAAGGCCCCAGCCCACGTCTTCTGGAGGGAGCGCTGCGGAGCCCGGTGAGTAAGCCCTGTCCTCAGGGACCCTTGCCTCCTGGAGCCCCATCCTGCCCTGGCCAGGCCACTGCTGCTTCCCTCCTGGAGAGCCTCCCATCATCGGCTCCCGGAGGCCTCAGCGGTGTCTCCTCCACCCCTCCCACCCAGGTGTGTGCTGCCCTGGGCTGAGTTTGAGTCGCTCCTGGGCACCTGCCACCCAGTGGAGCCAGGCTGCACGGCCCTGGCCCTGCGCACCACCATCGACCTCACCTGCAGCGGGCACGTGTCCATCTTCGAGTTCGACATCTTCACCAGGCTATTCCAGGTCAGGACGGCCAAGGCTCGGAGCCAGGCTCAGGTCCTGGAGGAAAAAGAGGACTGGAGCCCGGGTCTGAGGGAGGAGGGGCTGGGGCCTGGACTCCTGGGTCTGAGGGAGGAGGGGCTGGGGGCCTGGACTCTGGGTCTGAGGGAGGAGGGGCTGGGGGCCTGGACTCCTGGGTCTGAGGGAGGAGGGGCTGGGGGTCTGGACTCCTGGGTCTGAGGGAGGAGGGGCTGCGGGCCTGGACTCCTGGGTCTGAGGGAGGAGGGGCTGGGGGCTCTGGACTCCTGGGTCTGAGGGAGGAGGGTCTGGGGGCCTGGACTCCTGGGTCTGAGGGAGGAGGAGTTAGGGCCTGGACTCCTGGGTCTGAGGGAGGAGGGTCTGGGGGCTCTGGGCTCCTGGGTCTGAGGGAGGAGGGGCTGGGGGCCTGGACTCCTGGGTCTGAGGGAGGAGGGGCTGGGGACCTGGGCTCCTGGGTCTGAGGGAGGAGGTGCTGGGGACCTGGACTCCTGGGTCTGAGGGAGGAGGGGGCTAAGGTCGAAAACTCCTGAATCCTGGAGAAAGAAGGGCTTGGGGTCTTCTTGTAAAAGGGATACGCCTGAGGCCCCATGGGTGTAAAGGAGGTGGCTGGATTGTCGGGTCCTGGGGACTGCTTAGGGATGTGAGCTGCTCCCCTGGTCTCTCCGTGACCCAAGCCTGCCCCTCCACAGCCATGGCCAACACTCCTCAAGAACTGGCAGCTCCTGGCAGTCAACCACCCAGGCTACATGGCCTTCCTCACCTACGATGAGGTCCAGGAGCGTCTGCAGGCCTACACGGACAGGCCAGGCAGGTAAAGGTCCAGGACTCAGGGGAACCAGGCTGAGGGCTCCGGGGTCTGGGCTCTGGGCTGGTGCAGCGTGGAGCTCAGATGTCCTTCCAAGAGTGGAAACGGAGGTACCTGGGACCCCAGAGAGTTAATAGCTCAGAGGCAGGATATTGAGCGCCCCTGCCAGTCTACCTCTTCTCTCAAGACCTCCCATACTGTCCCATAATCCTGCAGCTAAGGGACAGTCCCTGGTCTACAAGTAGCCCAAAAACCCTGCTTCAGGGTAAGGTCCATTTCTGCTAGGTCAGAGCCATGTGGCACCATCTGTTCAATATTTTGAGTATGACTTTCCCGCCTATTGGTATAGGTAGGAGACCGAGAAACTAGACATGTGAGTCCTTAAATTATTTAAATCCAAGAGTTTTGCGCTGTCGGGTCCCCCTGAGAATTGAGCTGTCTAGAATACCAAGAGAACAGGAGGTCAGGTTTGTGAGTCTCTGCAGGGCTGAGGTGCAGGGGTAGGAAGCTGAGGGCATTAGCACTCTTCCAGTTACGCTTCAACGGATTTAAGGGAAAAGAAAAAGAAAAGAATAAATTCTCGTAATTGAAAAGGCCAGGCCGGGCGCGGTGGCTCACGCCTGTAATCTCAGCACTTTGAGAGGCCAAGGAGTGTGGATCATGAGGTCAGGAGTTCGAGACCAGCCTGGCCAACATGGTGAAACCCCGTCTCTACTAAGGATTAAAAAAAAATCAACTGGGTGTGATGACACACACCTGTAGTCCCAGCTATTCAAGAGGCTGAGGCAGGAGAATCACTTGAACCTGGGAGGCAGAGGTGGCAGTGAGCCGAGATCACGCCATTGCACTCCAGCCTGAGTCACAGGACGAGACTCTGTCTCCAAAAAAAAAAAAAGAAAAGAAAAGGCCAGGCCAGGTGTGGTAGCTCACACTTTTAATCCCAGTAGTTTGGGAGGCCAAGGTGTGCATACCACGCGACGATGGGAGTTTGAGACCAGCCTGGTCAACATGGTGGAACCCTGTCTCTACTAAAAATACAAAAAGTAGACAGGCATGGTGGTGCATGGCCTGTAGTCCAGCTACTTAGGAGGTGGAGACATAAGAATCGCTTGGGGGCCGGGCGCGGTGGCTCAAGCCTGTAATCCCACCACTGTGGGAGGCCGAGGCGGGTGGATCACGAGGTCAAGAGATCGAGACCATCCTGGTCAACATGGTGAAACCCCGTCTCTACTAAAAATACAAAAAATTAGCTGGGCATGGTGGCGTGTGCCTGTAATCCCAGCGACTCAGGAGGCTGAGGCAGGAGAATTGCCTGAACCCGGGAGGCGGAGGTTGCGGTGAGCCGAGATCGCACCATTGCACTCCAGCCTGGGTAACAAGAGCAAAAAACTCCGTCTCAAAAAAAAAAAAAAAAAGAATCGCTTGAACCTGAGAGGCAGAGGTTGCAGTGAGCCGAAATTGCGCCATTGCACTCCAGCCTGGGCAACAGAATGAGACTCTGTCTCAAAAATAAAAAGGAAGAAAAGAAAAAAGAAAAGAAGACCAGGTTGTGGGTTTTGGGCACAGCTACATCCAGGTGCTCGGTAGCAATTGTCAGGGGTCAGTTCCTGTTCATCCCCTTTCTCTGCTTTCCTGTGTTGGCTTCATTCTCAAACATGGTTTGTCCTCATGGTGACAAATGACTTCTAGAAGTCCCAGCTGTGTACCCCGTCTTCTTAGCAGCCTCTGTAAGAAAGAGGGCACCTTGTTCTGATGCTTCCAACGAAAGTCCCAGAAAGGGCTTCCATCACAGTGGTCAGGGGTCCTGAGATGCACTGATTGGCCAACCCAGCATTGTTTAAACTGCAGTGAAGCGGGAAGAGCTCTCCAAATGGAAACAGGACTGTTTTTACTGTAAAAGACCCAGGCAGGCAAAAACAGCAGATATCCTTGTAGAGGCAGGCAGTGCTCTAGCACACACCGTTGCCTAAAGGGTGGGAAACTGGGGCGAGGACTTAGACACCTGGATTCCCAACAGGTCGGGGGACTGGGAGTTCGCAGAAGGGACGGTGGTGACCACTCCCTCACCACTTCCTACCTCCCTCTCCCTCCAGCTATATCTTCCGGCCCAGCTGTACTCGCCTGGGGCAGTGGGCCATCGGCTACGTAAGCTCAGATGGCAGCATCTTGCAGACCATCCCTGCCAACAAACCCCTGTCCCAGGTGCTCCTGAAGGGACAAAAGGACGGCTTGTGAGTCTCCATTCTTGTAGGAGGAGGGTGTCATATGGTTCAAAAAATCTTGCATGTTGAGCACTGCAGGTAACCACCACGTTTGAAGGTGCAACCACTCACAAAGCAGACATCTCAAATCTGCAGTACCACAGGGTTCCAGCAGGTGGCAGTCAAAGGCCTTGAGGAAGGGGCACCTCTGAGGTTTGCACCAAGTGGCCTTGGTTAGATAGGGCCCAGGGCCGGGCACGGTGGCTCACGCCTGTAATCCCAGCACTTTGGGAGGCCGAGGCGGGTGGATCATGAGGTCAAGAGATCGAGACCATCCTGGTCAACATGATGAAACCCCGTCTCTGCTAAAAATACAAAAAATTAGCTGAGCATGGTGGCGCGTGTAATCCCAGCTACTCAGGAGGCTGAGGCAGAAGAATTGCCTGAACCCAGGAGGCGGAGGTTGCAGTGAGCCGAGATCACGCCATTGCACTCCAGCCTGGGTAATAAGAATGAAACTCCGTCTCAAAATAAATAAATAAATAAATAAGATAGATAGGGCCCAAACGGATCATGAGGTCAGGAGTTCAAGACCAGCCTGGCCAACATGGTGAAACCCTGTCTCTACTAAAAATACAAAAATTAGGCCAGGCGTGGTGACTCATGCCTGTAATCCCAGCACTTTGGGAGGCCGAGGGAGGAGAATCACTTGAACCCGGGAGGCAGAGGTTGCAGTAAGCCAAGCAGGTTTCTTTTCTTTCTTTTTTTTTTTTTGAGATGGAGTCTCACTCTGTCACCCAGGCTGTGCAGTGGCACAATTTCAGCTCACTGCAACCTCCATCTTCCCTCAGCCTCCCAAGTAGCTGGAATTACAGGCACCTGCCACCACGCCCAGCTAATTTTTGTATTTTTAGTAGAGACGGGGTTTCTCCATGTTGGCCAGGCTGGTCTCCAACTCCTGACCTCCAGTGATTTTTCCTCCTTGGCCTTCCAAAGTGCTGAGATTAGTAGCATTAGCCACCATGCCTGGCCAAGAAGGCAGATTTCTTTTCAGTTTCACCCTCAGCCAGAACTTTCTTTTTTCTTTTTGAGATGGAGTTTCGCTCTTGTTACCCAGGCTGGAGTGCAGTGGTGCGATCTCGGCTCACCACAACCTCCGCCTCCTGGGTTCAGACAATTCTCCTGCCTCAGCCTCCTGAGTGGCTGGGATTACAGGCACGTGCCACCATGCCCAGCTAATTTTTTGTATTTTTAGTAGAGACAGGGTTTCACCATATTGACCAGGATGATCTCGATCTCTTTTTAAGAAGCCTCTACATAGGATTTACTCCTGAACGGAACTTGACCTCGTGATCTGTCTCAGCCACCCAATGTGCTGGGATTACAGGTGTGAGCCTGCGCGCCTGGCGTTTATTTATTTTTTTTGAGACAGGCATGAGCCACTGCATCTGATCTAAGCCAGAAATTTTCTTTCTTTCTTTCTTTTTTAAGACGGGGTTTCACCATGTTGGTCAGGCTGGTCTTGAACTCCCGACCTCAGGTGATCCACCCGCCTTGGCTTGGATTACAGGCATGAGCCACCATGCCCAGCCAAGCCAGAAATTTTCATCCTGTTTTCTGGTTCTTATTCTATCTCATCCTTGTTTCTAGAGCTTGAGTCACTGAGGTTTTGTGTCCCCTTCTTTGGGGGTCTGAGTGCACACAGCCCTGCCCTGCGGTATTTGAGAAGATACAGTCCCAATTAGAGGAGGGCAGAGGGAAGAGAACCCCAGGCCAGCAATGGATATGGGGCAGATCCTCATCTCAGGGAAATACGGGGCCCTATAGGGGGAAAGATCCTTGTTCATCCTGGGGTGGGAGATACTGGATGGCCCCCAGTCACCCTCTCTTCCCTTCCCCCAGCTACCTCTACCCAGATGGAAAGAATCACAACCCAGACCTGACTGAGCTCTGCCAGGCAGAACCCCAGCAGCGCATCCACGTGTCAGAGGTGAGTCACACGCCTGCACCCGCTGTCCCCGTTCCCGGACCCTGCCACACCCACGCTCCCTGGGCTCAGAGGCCTGGGGATGGAATGCTGGCTTGGTGGCTGTGTGACCTTGGGTAAATCACTTGACCTCTCTGAGGCTCAGTTATTCTTCCAGAAAATACGGTTCCTCCTGCCTCTCTCCCAGGGGTGATCACAGGGATTAAATAAGGAACTGACGCTGCTGAGATCATCAGGACAGCTAATGCATTTGAGCATTAGCCAGCGATAGCCCCGTGCCAGCTCCTAATCTTCATAGCCACCCCATGAGTGACAGAGAAACAACAAATAATTTATTTTTTTTTTTATTTTTACTTATTTATTGAGACAGAATTCCGCTCTTCTTGCCCAGGCTGGAGTGTGATGGCACGATCTTGGCTTACCCCAACCTCCGTCTCCTGGGTTCAAACAATTCTCCTGCCTCAGCCTCCAGAGTAGCTGGGATTACAGGCATGCGCCACCACATCCAGCTATTTTTGTATTTTTAGTAGAGATGAGGTTTCGCCATGTTGGTCAGGCTGGTCTTGAACTCCTGACCTCAGGTGATCCATCCGCCTCAGCCTCCCAAAGTACTGGGATTACAGGCTTGAGCCACTGTGCCCAGCTAAATAATTTATTTTTATTTTTAGAGATAGGGTCTCTTCTGTCACCCAAGCTGGCGCACAGTGGTGTGATCATGGCTCACTGCAGCCTTGACCTCCCAGGCTCAAGCGATCCTCCCACCTCAGCCTCCCAAGCAGCTGGGACTACAGGTGTGAACCACAGCACCCAGCTAATTTTTGTATTTCTCTGTAAAAATGGGTTTTCACCATGTTGCCCAAGCTGGTTTTGAACTCCACCTCTGCCTCCCAAAGTGCTGGGATTACAGGCATGAGCCACTGTACCTTGCCTTAAATTTTTTTAGTATAAATATATCCCATGCAATATTTAGAACATTCTGACACTTCAAATTGTATTCACTGTTTATATGAAATTCAAATTTAGAGGCCGGGTGTGGTAGCTCACGGCTGTAATCCCAGTACTCTGGGAGGCCAAGGCAGGTGGATCCCTTGAAATCAGGAGTTCAAGACCAACCTGGCCAACATAGTAAAACCCCGTCTTTACTAAAATTACAAAAATTTCCCAGGCATGGTGTTCACACCTGTAATCCAAGCTGAGGCATGAGAGTTGAGCGGCTGAGGCACAAGAATCACTTGAACCGAGATCGCTCCACTGCACTCCAGCCTGGGCAAGACAGTGAGACTCCATCTCGAAAAAAAAAGAAATTCAAATTTAGGTTAGGTGCGATGGTTCCTGCCTGTAATCTCAGCACTTTGAGAGGTTTGGGAGGCCAAGGCAGGTGGATCACCTGTGCTCAGGAGTTCAAGAAGGGCCTGGGCAACATGGTGAAACCCTATCTCTACCAAAATTGCAAAAAATTAGCCTACCTACTTGGGAGGCTGAGGTGGGAGGATCACTTGAGCCTGGGAGTTGGAGGTTGCAGTGAGCTGAGATCGCGACCCTCAACCTAGGTAACAGAAGAAAGAAAGAGAGAGGGAGAGAGGGAAGGAAGGGAAGGAGTGGAAGGAAGGAAGAAAGGAAGGAAGGAAGGAAGGAGTGGAAGGAAGGAAGCAAGGAGGGAAGGAAAAGAGAGAAAAAGAGAAAGAGAAGAGAGGAGGGAGGGAAGGAGGGACGGAGGGAGGAAAAGAGGGAGGGAAAGAAGGAAGGAAGGGAGGGAGGGAAGGAAATTCAAATTTAGCAGCATCCAGTATTTTTATTTGCTAAATCTGGTACCACTGGGTGTAGACAACTGGGGAGAAGTCTCATAACAAGGAGTGAAGACATGGCCGGGCGTGGTGGCTCCCACCTGTAATCCCAGCACTTTGGGAGGCCAAAGGAGGCAGATCACTAGAGGTCAGGAGTTCGAGACTAGCCTGGCCAACATGGCAAAACCCCATCTCTACTAAAAATACAAAAATTAGCCAGGCGTGGTGGCATATACCTGTAGTCCCAGCTACTAGGGAGGCTGAGGCAGGAGAATCACTTGAACCCAGAGGCAGAGTTTGCAGTGAGCTGAGATCGTGCCATTGCACTCCAGCCTGGACAACGAGAGCGAAACTCCATCTCAAAAAAAAAAAAACAACAACACAAACACACACACACAAAATGAGTAAAGACATGTAGGAGGCAGTTGGACATATTCACCTTGAACTTAGGAGAGGGTTCAGGTCTGGCATAGAGGTTTGGTTTATTATTGTTTTTAAATAGAGACATGGTCTTGCTATGCTGCCCAGGTCGGTCCAGAACTCCTGGGCTCAAGCAATCCACCCGCCTGGACCACCAGAAGTGCTGGAATTACAGGCGCCAAGACAGAGGTTTGGGATTTTCTTTTTTTTTTTGAGATGGAGTCGCCCAGGCTGGAGTCCAATGGCAATCTCGGCTCACTCGACCTCCAGGGTTCAAGCGATTCTCCTGCCTCGGCCTCCTGAGTAGCTGGGACTACTATTAGCCACCACTCCCAGCTAAATTTTGTATTTTTAGTAGAGACAGGGTTTCAACATGCTGGCCAGGTTGGTTTCGAACTCCTGATCTCAGGTGATCCACCCGCCTCTGCCTCCCAAAGTGCTGGGATTGCTGGGATGAGCCACCGCGCCTGGCCAAGGTTTGGGATTTTGTTCCTGTGGCCCAACTTGCGTCCCCATGGCTGATGCATGCCCTCCCAGTCTCCTCTATCCTCTCACCTGCCAGGAGCAGCTGCAGCTCTACTGGGCCATGGACTCCACATTTGAGCTCTGCAAGATCTGTGCTGAGAGCAACAAGGATGTGAAGATCGAGCCATGTGGACATCTGCTCTGTAGCCGCTGCCTGGCTTCCTGGCAGGTAGGCCTGACCCCTGCGCCGCCTTCTCGGCTGGTCTCCCCCTCTCTACAGGGAAAGCCCCGAGAGGATCTCTCTATGCCTCATTGATCATATGGGGAAACCGAAGTCCAGAGACGGCCGAGAGCAGCTAGGGACCTCTCAGGAGCGTGTCTGTCTTTCCCCAGGCCTCTGGTTCCATCCCATTCTGCACAAGCTGCCTCTGTTTCGCCCTCTCTGGCTATGTTATAGGTGGAAAGCTTTCCTTCCTGCCCTGCTGGGTGATCCTGAGCCAATGGCTTCACCTCTCTGAGCCTTGGCCTCATCTCCTGGAGAATGGGGCTGAGGATACTGATCTCCCAAGGGCCACAGTGAGGCCAGGTGCGGTGGCTCATGCCTGTAATCCCAGCACTTTGGGAGGCCAAGGCCGGTGGATCACTTGAGCTCAGGAGTTTGAGACCATCCTGGCCAACGTGGTAAAACCCCATCTCTACTAAAAATACAAAAATTAGCCAAGTGTGGTGGTGGGTGCCTGTAATCCCAGCTGCTCAGGAGGCTGAGGCAGGAGAATTTCTTGAACCCAAGAGACGGAGGTTGCAGTGAGCAGAGATCACACCACCGCACTCCAGCCTGGGTGACAGGGAGACTCTCGCCTCAAAACAAACAAAAAAGAGTCAGCTGGGTGCGGTGGCTCACGCCTGTAACCCTAGCACTTTGGGAGTCCAAGGCGGGTGGATCATGAGGTCAGGAGTTCAAGACCAGCCTGGCCAAGATGGTGAAACCCCGTCTCTACTAAAAATACAAAAAATTAGCCAGGCATGGTGGTGGGTGCCTATAATCCCAGCTACCTGGGAGGCTGAGGCAGGAGAATCGCTGGAACCCAGGAGGCGGAGGTTGCAGTGTGCTGAGATCGTGCCACTGCACTCCAGCCTGAGAGACAGAGCAATGCTCTGTTTCAAAAAAAAAAAAAAAAAAAAAAAACAAGAGCCAGGGAGGGTCTGAGCCTGGAAAGGCCTGACCTGGAAGCTGTGGCCACTGCTCCACGGAGACCCTAGCCTGTGCCGGCCCCTCCTGACCTGGGCTCTGGCTCTGTTCCCCTCTCACCTTCCCTCCCAGCATTTTCTTCCACATTCCCCTTCTCTCCAGGATTCCTCTTCTGTCCTTCATCTCCCTTCCTCTGTCTGTCCTCCCGACATCAATCTTTTGGGCAGGGAGCTCCTCGTTGGCCCAAGAGGAGGGCAGGTGCATTAACCCTTTCCCTCCCGACCCCCCCAGCACTCAGACAGCCAGACCTGCCCCTTCTGCCGCTGCGAGATCAAGGGCCGGGAGGCCGTGAGTATCTACCAATTCCATGGCCAGGCTACTGCTGAGGACTCAGGAGACAGCAGTCACCAGGAAGGCAGGAAGCTGGGGCTGGGGCAGGTGAGCAGTGCCAGGCAGGAGATGGAATCCAGATTCCTGCATCAGAGGGAGGAAGGGCTGGGGCCTGGATTCCTGGGTCTGAGGGAGGAGGGGCTGGGACCTGGACTCCTGGGTCTGAGAGAGGAAGGGCTGGGGGCCTGGACTCCTGGGTCTGAGGGAAGAGGGGCTGGGGCCTGGGCTCTGGGTCTGAGGGAGGAGGAGCTGGGGTCTGGATTCCTGGGTCTGAGGGAGGAGGGGCTGGGGTCTGGGCTCCTGGGTCTGAGGGAGGAGGGGCTGGGGTCTGGACTCCTGGGTCTGAGGGAGG